CACCAAAGAGCCAGGCCATGCCAAATGCTGACAAGGAGAGTGAGTTACTCTTCCAAGCTTACAAGAGAATGTCACAACTCTGTACAAACATACCTTATTTCTTAGTTACTGTTCTGTAGCTGTAAAGAGACACCATGGCCAAAGATACTTATAAAAGAAAGCATCTAATTGGGGCTTGCTTATACTTTCAGAGGGTTAGTCCATGACGATTGTGGCAGAGAGCGTGGCGACAGGCAGGCGCAGTGCTGGAGCAGTAGCTGAGAGCTCACATACTGACCCAGCTACAGGAGGCAGGGACAGGAGAGTAGGCATGGGGTGGGCTTTTGAAACCTCTAGTGACCTTAACTTCCTGTTAGCAGCCACATGCCACCAACCTCTGTATCTCAGCTCACATCCTCTTGATACTCAGTGAAACTTAGAGCGTGTGGTAAGCCCAGATCTCTAGCCTCCAGGGAGGGACCCTAAAGCCAAGAATGCAGTAAAGACAACATCGGATTCCCATAGGAAAGACCTCGTCTGAGTGTCTGAGGCCAACAGAAAATTCCTCCCTGCCACAACCTTGTTAGCCTTCCCTACCTGTTGACAGATTCCTCTCTCTCTCCTCCCCCCCCCCACATTGATTCATGGCTTTATTCTCTGTGACTGTAAAAGCTCCTGTCACCCCTTCAGGATGACTTGAATCTGTGCTCCTGAACCATGGTCATTTATGTTTGGCACAGAATAAATGATTTTCTTTACAGAAGAGTTGTTATTTTACATTCACAAAATGGGATTTTTTAAAAATCTGCATTAGGATGAATTTGTAATGTTTTCTACTGAGAGATAAAAGATGACAAGAAATATTTTTACAAGGTGTGTTAGGACAGAATTCTCTTAGCCCATGACATCTCAACCAGGAATGTCTTTTCTCCTGATATAGGAAAGTCAGCTTTCACATGAAGTTTTTATCTTTTGTTTCTATGAAGAAAGGCAGGGATGTCAGAGGCCGTTCTTGCATCTGCTCTGTTTTAAGTGTCTTTAGCTCAAAATAACTTGTATGCTAAAGTGGTCTGTTTTAGAATGATAGTCTACCACCCTCCACCTGTGAGACAGGCATTCCATGTTTCTTTGTACGCTGAAACTTGAAAGTACTCCGACAGCATAGTAAATCCCTATACTAGGAGAGCTAAGTGTTTGACCTCATGTGACTGTGAATCATAGTTTTCCTACTGAGCTCAGATTAAATGCAGCCTCAGCTCAGCTCATTGTGTCTTTGGCAAACTGAAGAATTGCGTAGGTCTCATTGGCTCTTTACCGCTGTCTCAGTGACATCAATTAGTTGGTTGTCTCTTGGTCATGGGATGACTGACAGCTACTGCCATAATCTGTAAAGTCAATCAGGAGCCAGACACACAAGCCAGCTACACCTGCCCTCAACAGTTGCTTTCCCTAAAATTCACTCTGGTGTCTACCATTTCTTATGTGTCAAAACAGGATCATGTGACCCCAAGCTGCAAGAGAGTCTGAGAAGATGAATTCTTTTTTTTCCCCGGCTATTGGCCAATCAGTTTATTTTATTAACAATGAGCATAATCCTCCTTTTATCTAATTAAAAAGGAAGATTTTAACCTTAACACAGTAAAATTATATATAACAAAAACAATTATTAAGTAAGAATTACAGTAACAATATCCAACCCATTTGTATTTGGAAAAATTAAAGAAACTATTTTGTCATCTAATTTTTGTGAGTCCAAAGTTTTGTATCTAATTTACCTTTTATCATAACTAAGGAAAACTATAACTCTAACTCTTTAGTCTTCAGCTCCATCAAAAACCCCAGAAGAGTGAAATGTTACCTAACAACAGGGACATTTTGCTACCTGGACAGTCACCCATAGTTCCTTTGTAATGTTGGGGTATCCAACTCTGGCCTATAGGCCTAGTATATCTGACAGACTTTGCTGTGAAGCAGGGAATTTTAAAGGACTGTCCTACCTTGTCTTGGCAAAGTTCAGCAGTCGCCTTTCTTGCGTCCTGTTGGTCTAGTTTGGATAGTAATTGTCAGCAATTGAGGCAAGGGCAGTTTCTTTGCCCATATGGCTAGCTTTTGCCATAAAGGAAATAAACTCCATACAATTTTTTTCAATGCCCAACAAAAGATTAATTCTTTTTGACTAGACGCATTACTGTGTCAACAAAATAAGTTGTTGTGTTGGTGAGGGAGTGAATAGTAGTCAGCTAACAGTGTCTGCTGCTTCTGGGTTATTTTTTATGTGTAAAGAGATGGTAGATAGATAGATAGATTGATTGATTGATTAGGGTTTCTATTGCTGTGAAGAGACACCATGATCATGGCAACTCTTATAAAGGAAAACATTTAATTAGGGCTGGCTTACAGTTCAAAGGTTTAGTCCATTATCAGCATGGCAGGAAGTATGGTGGCACGCAGGCAGACATGGTGCTGGAGAGGAGCTGAGAGTTCTACATATTGATCCACAGGCATCAGAAGAGAGACTGACACACATTGGCCAGGCTTGAGCATCTGAAACCTCAAAGCCCACCCTCAGTGACACACCTCCTCCAAAAAGGCCACACCTCCTAATAGTGCCACTCCCTATGAGCCTATGGGGGCCATTTTCTTCCAAACCAGCACAGATGGATAGATGGATGGATGGATGGATGGATGGATGGATGGATGGATGGAAGGAAGGATGGATCAATCAATTGATCTTGTTTTCTTTTTCTTTCTTTTTTTTTAATGTTTTTTTTTTTCAAGACAGAGTTTCTCTGTATAACAACTCTGGCTGTCATAGAACTTGCTTTGTAGACTAGGCTGGCCTCAAACTTGAAGAGATCCTCCTGCCTTTGCCTCCTGAGTGCTAGGATTAAAGGCATGCACCGCCACTACCCAGCTGTATTTTCTTTTTTTTTTTATTACATTTATTTATTCAGAGGGAGAAGTGATATTTCTATGGGCACATGCATGTTAACACACATGTGGAAGTCAGAAGACAACTTGTGAGAGTTATTTCTCTCCTTCCACCCTGTAGGTCATGGGATCAAACTCAGGCTGTTAATCTTGTCACCAGCTGCCTTTACCCCCTGGCAAGCTTGTCTGTCCTGAAGTATAACCATATTACAATAATTCATGCTGGCCAGGAATGATGTCACACACCTGTAATCTCAGAACTGAGGAGGCTGAGGCAGGAGCATTGCAAGTGTGAGGAGAGCCTAAACTACATAGACCCTGCCCACCCCCCCCCCCCAAAAAAAAGAGAGTTGAGGAGTATAGCACGTGGTAGAGCACTTGCCTAGCTTGTACCCTGTCAGGATTTCATGTCTCGTAATGCAAAAAGAGAAGGTGGGAAAGAAGAAAAAACTCAAGAGACCTTTTTAGCTTTGTTGACCACTTTTGTTGTGATTGTTCTGGGTTTTGTTGGGTTTTTTGAGGCAGGCTCTTACCTTACAGCCCAGGCTGGACCAGCACTTGAGATCCTCTAGCCTTGGGCCTCCCTAGAACAGGGATTCTAGGCATGCAGCAGCACACCTGGTCTGGCCAACCTTTACCACTGAGTCATATGCTGCATTATTTTTATCGTGGTTAAAAGTTCCACGTTTTGCATTGGGAGAACCTCTCTTCAGGCAGATCCTCCATCTGTAATACAGATGGGAGTTGTTCTTGGACTGGAGGTCCAGCCATACCCCTGGCCAATCTCTGAAGCTCCTCAAGCATTTCCTTGGAATCCAGCTTCAAGAGCGGGTCCAGCCCAGGCAGCCACTGAGAAGTCCCTCAGTGTCCTTCTGCAAGCCCAGCAGATAGCAGGGGGCTCTGACCTATGGGGATGGGTTGTAAATGGTCACTGTATGCCAGATGCATTGCTGGTCCCGATTTTCAAACATCTGAAGATGGATGTGTGATGTATTGTCTGACCCCGTAAGCGGCATGTGGAGGGCAAGCTCCCATGAAGCAGCGAGCCAGCGGTAGCCGCAGACTCCCCTGGAAGAGGTCCTGCGGCACTGGCCCTCATCGAGTAGCTAACTCCTACTTTGCTTTCAGTTTCACTAAGTAGCCCAGGCTAGCCTCAGATTTGATGTGTATCTCAGGTGAAGTCTTCTTAGGATTACCCAAATTCTAGCTAGTGTAGCAGAGAGGAAGTAGATCAGGCTGTCCCTGAGCCTACAGATAGACCATCTCTGCCTCCTCCCAGGCGCTGGCATTATACAGGCTTTGTGCCACTCTGGCGGGATAAAATGCTGATTGTTTTAAATCACATCTGCCTGTTTTTTCTCCCTTCGCACCTTTAAACATCCAGTCCTCTTCAAAGCTTAGAGCTGCTGCTGTTCTCAACTGTCTTCTCCTCCCATGACTTTGAGTTTTATATGCTCCATGTGATCGTGTGCAAAGCTAAAAAGACTCCTCCTAACTTTTGTGCTCCCGTGTAACCCGCAGCACGGACCCTCTTACTGTAAACCCCTTTCTTTTGTTTATTTGGTTTTCGTTATTGTTTTCCTTTGTCTTATTTTGGTACATGGCGTGTGTGCATGTATGTGTTCATATATATGCATGCGGGCGGAGGTCACAAGTTGTCACTACATGTCACCTCTTCCTTTCTTGCTCTCCACCTGACACACTGAGGCAGGATCTCTCTGGGATCCGGCTAGTCTCCTTAGCCTGTTTACCCCAGGCACCCCTGGTCTGTACTTCTCAGCTAGGATTACAAGCTAGACACCACATCTGCCCAGCTTTTATGTGGGTGCTGGGATGGGAACTCTGTCTTTATACCGTCTCCCCACCTCCACCACCACCCCTTTTTTTGAGACAGTTTCATGTAGCCCAGGCTGGCCTCAAACTTGCTATGTAACTGAATTCTGATCTTCCTGCCTCCTAAGTGCTAGGAATACAGGTGCCCTTGAGCCTGGCTCGCATGGCATCTTGTCCCTGGAAACCTATTCATCCACTCTGCTGCGGGGTGGCTCCTAGTGCCGCGTGGTCTCAAACCTGTTTCTTCCTTCCACCAGATCATGACCAACACTGGGAAGCCTCGGCGCAAAGGCCTGGCCAGTGTGCAGTGGAGTGGGGATGAGCCCCTGCGTCGGCCTGTCACCCCTGGCGGCCACAGGACGGGGTGCCCAGTGTAAGTTCGGGATACAGGAAGCGGGAGTCTGTTTTCTTAAGCACTGTCTTGATTAACTGCTGTGTACTATGTATTCAAGTGCATAATAAAGCATTCGTACTGGAAAGCATTTCTCTATTGTTTATCTCTTGAGGGTTTTTGGAGGAAAAGCAGGTGAGATACCATCTCCCCCATACACACTTGGGTTTCTTCCAGAAGGAGAAGTGTGTGACTTGCTAGAATCCCAGGGCCACCTCCAAAGACCAGTGTTGGCAAGAGTCATTCAGAAGAAAGTTCCTGAGCAATGGCGGGTTCAGCCAGTTTGAACTCCTGCCCTATCGTTCATTCCTGTGGCCTCTCCTCATAGTGCCAGGTCCAGTGCTAGGACTGGAGTGTCACAGTTCTGTTTTAGACGAGGCTCTCAAAGCAGCTGTGTGGCCTGGGCCGGGCATGAAGCCCTGGGTTCTATCCCCAGCACAGGACAAAAAAAAAAAAAAAAAAAAAAAAAAAAAAAAAAAAAAACAACTTGGGAAAGCAGCCATGTCCTTTTTTTTAGCTGCCAGGCACTGTTCATTCTCTGTAGCCTGGTTTCTACCTCTTGACAGAAAAATAAAACTTCAGTCAGGTCACCTGGGCCTCCAGAAAGGCTTGAGGCTGAGCAGCCAGTCAAGAGTCCCTTCTGGTATTTGCATGCCCCTGTCTTTTCCTAGAGAAAACTATAAACAGGTGTTCGTGATCAGGAGGCCATAGAGAGCTGGCTGAAAGCCTCCAGTTACTCAGGAGTAGTGACCTTATCCTGGTGGCCACACCATGTTACCCTTAGCCCCTGTTGCTGACGGTTTGGTTATTTCCAGTTTTACTGTGTGGGAACTTTATGACAATCACGAAGGCACTTAGCGTCTGTGTGAGCTCCACACCACAGCCACCAGGAACACCAGCGTCCAGCTCCAGCTCTTGCCAAGCTATATTACACATCTGGAATTTGATGTATGAAACTTCCCAGCCCACACCATGGATCAGTGCTCTGAGGTCTGTTTAATTAGCTCCCTGCGCTTCCGTTTCTAGGTTTTTATTTTTAATTATTGATCCTCAAATCAGCATATTGTGTCCTTTTCCCTCTCACGCACCCGACACTTTGTGAAACAGAGAACATCGCACTAAGGAGATCCTAGAGTTCACGTTGCCTCTCTCTCTCCCCCTTGCTCTCTATATGTATAATACAGCGTTTACAAACATACTTGTCTTGTTTTTTAGAGATTTGCTCACTTAGTGTGTGTAGGCGTGGGGTGCTCTTGGAGATAGGAGAGAGCATCCGACCCTCTGGTGTTGGAGTTATGAGGACTGGCGAGCCCCTGACAGGGTGCTCTCTCTGATCCTCTGGTAGAGCGGCAAGCATTAACCACTGTGCCATCTCTCCAGACCTTTGTTTGGTTGGTTTTTGTTTTTGTTGTTTGGTTTGGTTTGGTTTGGTTTTTTTCAAGACAGGATCTCACTATGTAGCCCAGGCTGGCCTCAAACTCATAGAGTGCTGGGATTGAAGACTTGTGCTGCTACACCTGGCCTTCTAGACCCTTGTTCTATGTTTTGGTTTTTTGGGACAAGGTCTCACTATGAGTCACTGGCTGACCTAGAACTCACTGTGTAAAGCGGGCTCGCCAGAGATCCATCTGCTCCCGCCTCCCTAGGACTGAGACCAGAGCTGTGCACCACCTTGTTTTGTATCTTGTGGTCCAGACTGGCCTTGAACTTGCTATGTGGCTGAGGGACTGCCTCACAGTCCTGTACCACCATACCTGGCTTATACAGCTTTTTGTTTGTTTATTCATTTTTGGTTTTGTTTCTTACTGACCTGTTTAAAAGGAGGGTACAGACCCTCGGCACATAGTTCCTAAAAATAAGGACACCTCATACAGACAGCTGTGCCAGTTACTCTGATGTGATCAGTACCGTGTGTCTGTGTGTTGAATGTCACACTGTCCCCATACATTTGTGCAAACACTGTGGTGACCAGCTGGAAATGTACTTCAAGAACAACCACTTAGCCACACCTACAAGTTAACTACAGTGTGAGCTGCCTTTCTTGCCCGCCAGCGTGACACTTACATTGGCGGGGTTATGGTTTTGGGGGGAGGTTGTGTGTTTTGATCTAGAATATAGTGAGAGATGAGCACTGGTCAACCTAGTTTAAATGGCCCGTTTGGGATGAAAGCAGCAAGAAGAGCTGATGAAATTCCTGCTGGGTGTGGGGAACAAGACAACAAACAGTCTTCTCAACTTTCAGAAAATAATTAAAACCCAGGCTTCACAGCAAGACAGCCATGACTAAGGACACTTCAGTTGGAGGATCTGACAAATTAACACCCGACCAAGGGGCACTGTTCATTCTTGGGCCAGATGACCTGTCCTGTAGAGACCCTGGAGCATGCTTCTCCAGCTTGTGGGCTCAGCTAGCTCCAGCTGGAGGTCGTGTTAGGGAGGTATTTGGCCAGGGTGGACCTGCCCAGCCGTGAGAGCACCCCTGGATCTGTAGTCCCACCCTCCATGAAGCAGTGGCTGCCCCCAAGTCCCTCTGCCAGGTGGATTCAACAAACTTTTTATTTTTGGAGACAGGGTCTCCTAGCCCAGGCTGGCCTCAAACTCACTATCCTGCCTCAGTCCCTCAGTGCTGGGATCACAGGTACACACCACCACCTCCAAGTCCAACATTGTTTTCATTCCTATGGCTGATGGGGTATAAACTCAGTCCTGGGAACCCAAAAATAAGTGGATGTGATACCCACCCTCAGAAGCACTCAGAGCAGCAGATCCTGTAGCAAGAAAAGACATGAAGAGGTCTGCACGATGTGACATGGTAAGAATGTGACAGTATTCAGAAAACCTGTGGCCTCCTGAGGGCCGTGAGTGGTGGTCAGAATCCTCTGCTTCTTATACTTATACTGCTTATACTCAAGGAATTCAATTTTCCATTCAAAACCACCAGCTCTTGGTAACTCTGCCTTGCTTTCAGATAAATCCAGAATCTTAGCGCTTCTGGGGACACTTAGTTAATATGTGTTTCACAGATTAAAGGCTAGTGATTTCTGGGTCTGTAGCTCTACCCTGTAATTTACAGATCTTTATAGGGGTACTTGTTACTATATTGATTATGAAGAAATATCTACATGCCCAGTATGGAAGACCGGCTACCTGAGTTATGGTCACAAACAGTATTGGAAATGTGTGGCAGCATTAAGAATAGTTGATTACGGGGAGCTGGAGAGATGGCTCAGAGGTTAAGAGCACTGGCTGTTCTTCCAGAGGTCCTGAGTTCAATTCCCAGCAACCACATGGTGGCTCACAGCCATCTATAATGAGATCTGGTGCCCTCTTCTGGCATGCAAGCATACTTGGAGGCAGAATGTTGGATACATAATAAATAAATAATCTTTAAAAAAAAAAAAAAAAAAGAATAGTTGATTACATGGGGCGATCCTCACAATGTGGCAATGTGTTGTTGAATAGAAAAGCAAACTGTAATGTGGTATGACAGGACACCTGTAAAGAGCCAGACTGGCCCGTTGGACCCAGGTTCTTTTAAGTATATATTTGCCCTTTTTTTCTCCTTTTGAGACAAAAGCCAGGTGTGATGGTGCATTCCCTGTTTTTTAGACAGAGTCTTACTTATGCAGCCCTGGCCAGCCTGGAACTCACTGTGTAGACTAGGCTGGCCTTGAATTCACAGAGATCTACCTGTCTGTGCCTCCCTAGGACTGGACTTAAAGACATGTACCACAGTGAGAGGGTCTCAGGTAGCCCAGGCTGGCCTGGAACTTGCATTTAACTGAGGATGATTTTCATGTATCGATTCTCTTGCCTCCACCTCCCAAGTGCCAGATTAGAGGCACGTACCAGCATGCCTGGGTAATGCAGTGCTGGAGCTCAAACCCAGGGCCTCCTGTACGTACGCCAGGCAGGCAATCCACCAACTCAGCCGCATTCCCAGCTGTGTATTTACATGTTTCAAAACACTGAAATGATATCACAGTTAAGTGGTCTCCTGTGGGTATTGTGGTAGGGACTGTTCTGTACATCCTTTGTATTATCTAATTTTTTTCATGATAAACACTGGTTCTATCATCAAGAACAGAAAGACGGAGGTAAACACCGGCACATGACTCTGACCTCTCTCAGCCCTGTCTTGGCTGTGCCTCCCAGATCTGACTCCTTTCCACACCAGCCTAACCAACCCTCCTGGGTTCTGAGGGGCTCTGTTCCCATCTCTGCACCTTTCACTGTCTTCTGCCCATCCCCAGCCCTCCTTCCTTTGGCCTCCCATCTAAGTGGGAGGGTGTGGCTGGTGACGTGCACCAGTCTGGACCTCCTCCACGGCCCTGCATGTTCAGTGACTTTCAGGATCCCAACTCCTGGCACCCTGGGGGCCCTGTACACTCTTGCCATTACTAACCCAGCCCCCGCCCGGTGGCTGTCCCCCTGTCCCTGCCACAGTGGACTGCCCTTCTGCCATCACCAGCTTCCTCCTATGTGCTGTGCTCTAGACAGGGTCTGGAACCCCAGTCTGGGGTCCTCACCCCATCCTACTCACTGATGGCAGGCACCCCAGCCCAGCTTGTACTTACACATGTGCCTCACAGCACCCCAGTCAGGGTCTCCAGAATCAGCATGACAGCCTCAGCCCTCCCTCAGGAACTGACATGAACCCCGCAACAGCCTAGCCAGAACCCCACCCTTCACTCTGCCCTCTGGGCCTTCACCTAAGCAGCCTCTCTCCCCTGACTTGCCACCTTCTCTCCTGACATCCCATACCCACCATGACCACAGAGGGTCCTTCTGACACAGAATGCCTTGTTTTGGCTCCTCTCTCCCTTGGGATTCAAATCTAAATATCTTTCCTCTTTACCTTGCCTACAATCCTCCGCTTCTTTCCCTCTCTGGCCCCCAGAAAACCCCAACTCAGAGCTGGAAGGCTGAGTGCCCCTCCCCCAGCCCACCTCTAACTCACTGCATGCCCAGCACCATGTTGAGAAGTCTCTCCAGAGTGGTTATGTGTCTCCTTGTCCTCGTTGAACCAAAGGAATTGGTATTTATCAACAGCCCTTTTCCTGTATCTGACCCTAGGCAGGCACAGGCTTGTCATCGTGCTGTGACTCACTTGCCGAGTCCATGGCTGTTGTCTCCTTGCTGGAGTGAGCGTTCTGTCCAGGCTGATGCACAGAGCCTCCGGAGTGCTTGCCTGTCTCTCAGGGACAGCTCTCCCAGACCTGTCCCTTGCCATATCTGAGAAGAGCATGGCAAGGCTGGACCAGAAACTGCCATCCGTCTCCTCAACGTGGGGCCAGTACAGCAACAGGCGTTGCTCAGCGGCAGAAGAACTCGCTCACCTCAGTGGGGCTCTTGCCTGCCTCTGTGCGGGGTGACGTGACAGGACGTCACACCTTATCCTTGGAGACGTGCTTTGTGCTTTATTTGGTGGAAACACCAGAGGCCTTGAGCAACCCACAGCTCTTGAGACGCTCTGACGTTAGACATGGGCTATCCCTGTAGTGTTATGAAGTCACAAGGGGACTACAGGTGTGAGGTACAGCTGCCACCTCTCAGGGCCTGCTGGCTTTGTCACTATTCTTTAAAAAGGTGGTTTAGAACTGGGCGGTGGTGATGCAGGCCTCAGCACTCAGGAGGCAGAGGCAGGCAAATCTGAGTTGGAGGCCAGCCTGGTCTATAAAGAGAGTTCTAGGACAACCAGGGCTACACAGAGAAACCCTGTCTCAAAAAAACAAAACAAAAAAGATGGTTTATCCAGGTGGTGGCTCTACTTGTCATCCCAGCACTTGAGAGAAGGAGGCAGGAAAGTCAGAAGTTCAAGGTAATTCTCAGCTACATGAAGGCCAGCCTGGGCTACTTGAGATACTCTATTTTTTAAAGCTGGCAGTTAACATGGTCCAGCAGGTAAAGGTGCTCGCTCGCCACCAAGCCTGACGACGTAAGTTCAGTCACCAGGTTCTCACGTGACCAAGAGAGAACCAATAGCTGCAGGTTGCCTTCTGACCTCCACGTGTGTGCCATGGGGCGAGCACACGGGCACATGCTCACATTAAATAAATGTAACATTGTTTAACTTAAAAAGGCAAAACTAACAAAAATATGTTTTAAAATGTCCATTTCCAAAAGACTCTCAGCCACAGCCAACTCCTGCATCTCTTTGGGATGCTACCAAGCCAGCCAGCCTAGCTGAGTCAGTGGGCTCCAGGGTCAGTGAGAGGCCATGCTGTCTGTATTTATTGGTTGTTTTTTTTTTTTTTTTCCATGTTTTTCTGCAGGCTGGGAGACCATCTCGTTTCTCCCCAGAATGCCCAACGAGCCAGAAATAGCTGTCTGCAGGCCTTACCAGTCACTCAGCCGGACGTCTGCAAAGAGGGCAAACCAGGTGTCGCTGGGCATGGCACATCCTTTTCATGTAAGAACTCTGTGGGTGCAGAGCGGGTCCTGAGCTCCTAGGTTCAAGAACCCAAGTGAAGCAGGGCCTGCAGGTGCATGCCTGCTCCTGGGAAGCCCTGTGGCCTCAGCCACAGTCTGGGATCTCAGAAGTCCACAGGCCTCCAGTCATACTGACAGATCTGGCGTCAGGCTTGTCTTCCAGATCTCGTTGAAGCAGTGTGTCTACCACTCACGTCTAGAAGCTCCTGGAACTCAGTTTAGTAGGAGATTTCAGAGTAGCCCATCTCAGTTTGCTATCTGGCTTAGTCCATGTTCCATGACTATAACAAAATGCCAGTGGCTGGGTGTTTATTTTTTGTGTGCTGGGAGTCAACATTTGGTATCTTTCTCATCCACCTTATTTTTTGAAGCAGGGTCTCTCACTGCTCCTGGAGCCCACTGATTCAGCTAGCCCCAGAGATCGCGCTGTTTCTGCCTCCCCAGTACTGGGATTACAGGTGCTCACTGCGGTGCCCTGGCGTCGGTGTGGGTGCTGGGGACTGAACTCAGTCTTCATGTTTCCCGAACAAGCACTTTACCAACTGAATTGTGTCTGCAGCCCCTGGTCCTGGGTACTCTTTAGTTCACAGTCTAGGAAACTGGAAATTTAAGAGCCAGTGTTCCATGGCTTTAAGCTCTTGCGAGGGCTCCTTGGTTATGTCACAGCATGGTGGATGGCACTATGGTGGACGGACAGACATATAAGAGACCCAGAGTATATGGCAAGACAAGAAGCCAGCAGCCAGGGAGGGCCAGGCTTGCTCTTTTGATTTTATAGCAATCCATTTTTAAGGGAACCAGTGAGATACCCACAGTAACTTCATCAGCACCCTCCCCGAGGTAGTGACACCTCCTTGACCTAATCACCTTGCCCTTGACCCCACATCTACAGGCCTCACCACCTCTGCACTGCCAGATGAACCTTCAGGGGACATTCCCAAACCTTACCTAAACCATCCCAATACAGACCTATGACCAGGTTTCAGTACCTCGGGTTTCATGAACTGAGGGTTCAGCCATGTGTTAGAAGGCTCCATGGCATCAGAATGTGCAGCTGGACACACAAACAGCCCTGAGGTCGGATTGTGCTTTGAAGTATCCAGTCAGTGGAGTTAAGCAGAAGCTGGTGGGGGCATAAAAGTATATTTTAGATGCCAGGGGGAGAAAAGCATTTTGAACCAGAAATATACAGAGTATTTCTTTTTTAATTTGCAAAAGGAAATTGAAAGGATTGGGAGTAGACCGGATGCAACTCTAAATCTCCATTCCAGTAGGAAAAGTCACCGAGTAGCAAAGCAGATCTCAGGAACTCTGATGCATCAGCTCATGGTTGGAGTCAAAGGCGGCCATGCCCAGATGCTGAGGAACCAGCTAGTCACTGAGCCCAAAGGAGGTCCCTGTGGCCCAGAGGAAGGGGAGCACTCAAGGGTCCTTTTGGTTATGGGCAGCTCCAGAGCTTTTGCCAAGTCCCTGGTCACTGGTTATTTTTCCTCTGTTCGCACTTGTAAATCCCACTAAGTAGGCCTTCACCATGAGGGATTAGCTCGGCATCCAGAGATGTCTGCTGGTTCTGCTGATCTGGAGGGTGAGGGTCTCTTTGGATGTGCTTTTGTTCTGAGGTCCTCATACATGCCAGGCAAGTGCCTTACCACTGAGCCACACCACCAGCACCTGTCCCTGTCTACTGGATAGATTCATCATGCTGTTGGGGTTCAGAGTACTTGAACTTGTGCATAGAAATGGCTAGGTGGCATGGGTGGCAGTTGCCACAGTCGATATTGACATTTACTAATTTTCAAGAACAGCTGACTTCAGGCCGCAGCACGCTCCACAGGCAAAGGCAGGGGACGGTAAGTTCTAAGCCAACCTGGTCTACGTAGATCCTGTCAAGGAAGGTGAGGCAGCAGGAGAGAGACAGGAAGAAGGGGGAGGGCAGAGACAGATGTAGAAAGAAGATGAGTGACTAGGAATCAGTTTCAGCCCTAGCACACTCGAGTTTCTTTCTGTGAAGTCCATCAAGGCCTCTGCCTTGGTAGTTAGCAGTTCCCAGGGCCTCTGCCTTGGTAGTCAGCAGTTCCCAGGGCCTCTGCCTGGTAGTCAGCAGTTCCCAGGGCCTCTGCCTTGGTAGTTAGCAGTTCCCAGGGCCTCTGCCTTGGTAGTTAGCAGTTCCCAGGGCCTCTGCCTGGTGTGGCAGCAGCTGCACACCAGACCCTGGCCCCAGGGGCCGCCTAGAACTGGGGCAGCCATTTCCCCTGGATGAGCACCCCCTGCTAGCCTGCTCCAAGTGCTCGGATGGTCTTCCAAGTGTCAGCTCCTTACCCTGCCCGATTGCTCAGCCAGGCTGGGTCCCAGGCTCTCCATTGCCTCCCACTTTTGTGTAGACCTCATCACACTGAACCTCAGCCCTGTCTCCATCGCCATCCGCCAGCCAGGCCTCCAGGCTGTTTTGTTGGGACATCTGGTTCACATCTGTCCTGTTCCTGGTGTAGACTTCACCTCTCTACGGTCTTTCAATCCGGCCCGTCCACAGCCACCCGGCCCCTGAGCACACTAATGCCCATTCATCTGTTGGCCACCTGTCCCCTCTGACTGGGGTCTGTTAGACTCTGCAGCCCTCGTCAGCCCTGGCCCTGCTGTTTCATTTCTTCCCACTGGACACTAGTTGGCTTGAGGAAAGTTCTTCCCCAGCCACCACAGAACTTGAGTGTCAGCCTCACACCAGGTAGGCCCTGTAAGCCCAGTACTCAGAAACAGAGGCAGGAGGAGTGCCGCGAGTTCAGGGCCAGGCTGGTCTACATAGCAGGTGGGTTTCAGATCCAGCTGGGGCTACATCCTGAGATCTCACCCTAGGAAAAAAAATCACACAGGTGAGCAGATGTCAGGTTCAGGTGCTCAGCTCTGTCTGAAATGGACTTGCCACAGAGGAGGACACCTGTCCCTTTAGTCTGTCCCAGTAGCTGCCAGTGGGCACCGATGGTGCCCTTTCCTCCCAGATCCTGTCTCTGTCCATGGGCCCATTTTACGTAGGTGAGACTCCAGAATCTACAGTGTGGCATGAGATGGGAAGAGACAGGAGAAGTGGGCTGCCTTAGTTGCTGCAATAAAATACTTGGGCAAAAGCAGCGTAAGGGGAAAAGGGTCTATTTGGCTCACAGTTTCTGATTACAGGTCGTCGCTGTGGGGAAGTCAAGGCCGCCGGAGCTGGAAGCGACCAGTCATACACACCCATGTGCAAGAGCAGAGAGCAGTCGGGAAGCACCCCTGCTCGTGTTTGGCTTGTTCCCTTCATCCTTACACAACCCCGATACCCTGCCCAGGGAATGGTTCCACCCACAGTGGGAGCATCTCCCTATCAATCAAGGATGCCCACAGGCCAACCTGATCTAGACACACCCACATTGGGACTCCCTTCCCATGTGATTCTAGACTGTGTCACGTTAGTAATTAAAACTAACCATCAGAGCTAGACAGTGGTGGCTCACGCCTTTAATCCCAGCACTTGGGAGGCAGAGGCAGGCAGATCTCTGAGTTCGAGGCCAGCCTGGTCTACAGAGTGAGTTCCAGGACAGGCACCAAAGCTACAGAGAAACCCTGTCTCAAAAAAACAAAAACAAACAAACAAAAAAGAACCTAACCATCCGAGCTAGACAGTGGTGGCACACGCCTTTGATCCCAGCACTTGGGAGGCAGAGACAGGCAGATCTCTGAGTTCGAGGCCAGCCTGGTCTGTGGAGCAAGTTCCAGTACAGCCAGGGCTACACAGAAAAACTGTCTCAAAAAACAAAAAACAAAACTAACCATGCACTTGGTGTGTTGGTGCACATCTTAAGTATCAGTCCTAGAGAGGCAGAGGCGGGCACCTTTGAGTTCAAGGTTAGCACGGTCTACCTACTGAGCTTCAGACCTATGAGAACCAGTCTCAAAAATAAAAATAAAAATAAATAAATAAAAAACTGAACTGGCTTAGGTGGCTTGGATTCCCAGCACCCACAGTTCCGGGGGGTCAGATGCCTCCTTCTGACCTCTGAAGGCTCCTGCATGCACATGGTACTCAGGCACACACATATACCCATAAAAAATAAACAACCGAGATTAACCATCCCAGGAAGGATGGAACAGGAGCTTCAGCAGAGGCTCCAGGGAGCCCACCATTGTTCCTCCCTCCTGCTGTCACTGTGCTGTCCCTGACCCCAGGAAGCCCAGGGCCTGGAGGTCTTTCCTGCCCTGGGGGTAGCCTTGGAAAACTGTGAGCTAGTGCCTGGGTGTGCGTCCACTCAAATGGTAGCAGTATGCCGAGCCTAGAGAGTGCAGACAAGCCATGCCCTGGCCCCTCAGAGAAAGGAGTCAGAAGCCGAAAATTCTAGGCCCAAATAGATAGACTGTAGACCAAACTACCCTTTAGGTTCCATATCAGAAATGGATTTCTTGTTTAAGTCAATAAAAAGCCTCTTGCTCTGGATTTGAGGGGAAATCCTGGACTTAATATAGAACTAAGAAGAGAAAATTTAAAAATGAAAAAGGCTGACTAGGTGGCGGTGCACATGCCTTTAGTCCCAGCACAGAGGCAGGCGGATCTCTGAGTACCAAACCAGCCTGGTCTACAAAGTGAGTTCCAGACAGCCAGGGCTACACAGAGAAACCCTGTCTCAAAAAAAGAAAAAGATTGACTAGTCACACCTCAGGGGTGGGGACAGAGGCACTTTGTATGTGGAGACTAGAAAGAAGCTTGGATCAAGGGGGTGACAAGCCCAGACCCTGTCATAATGCCACCCTCGCTGTGCCTGGGCCAGAGGATGGGTATATGACTGAAACACACAACATGGCCTGTCTCCAGGCCTCCACAGAAGCTCAGAGGAACGTTCAGATGGCCTGGCAGCCTGAACATGCCCGTGACCACTTGCTAGCCCTCCTATGAGCATGCTGAAGGTCCAACCTGGTGGTGTCTCCTCAGGCAACTCAGTGCCTGGCTTATTTCTATCTTAAATATAAAACTGCCAGATTTAACAATTCCGGGTACAGGAGACCTAGTTATATTGGTTTGTAATAAACAAACATGCCTCCCAGCTTTGAGTGGAGGTATGAACAGGAGCCCAGGGAGACAGTCCCGTGACTATTGGCTTCCCCAGAGGCAGAGAGGAGACTGAAGACTGCATAGGAAGTGGGCAGCTCCTCCCATACTGTGCCCTGTGCCTGCAAGATTCCAAGCTGCAGGGCTAATAAACCCAGGTCAGTAAAGATCAGGGTCCCGGAGCCAACACGTCCAGGCCTGGGGGTGAGTCTTCCTTGATTGTGCAGCCCAGCCCAGGAAAGAACATCCTAGAAGGCTCCAGGGAGAGTGTGTACTGGGCTCTATCTTCTCCTAGGGGGCTCCCGGGTGGGTGTGTACTGGACTCTATCTCCTCCTAGGGGGCTCCAGGGCAGGTGTGTACTGGTCTTTATCTTCTCCTAGGGGCTTCAGGGCGGGTGTGTATTGGTCTTTATCTCCTCCTAGGGGACTCTGGGGCAGGTGTGTATTGGTCTTTATCTCCTCCTAGGGGGCTCCAGGGCAGGTGTGTATTGGTCTTTATCTCCTCCTAGGGGGCTCAAGGGCAGGTGTGTACTGAGCCCTATCTTTTCCCCAGCAGTTATGAATTTAAAGTCAAGAGAGTGGTTATTAGCTGGACATCAAGAAGAGCCTCACTTGATTCCCCCAGCAGCCTCCAGCTGGCCAAAGAACGTGAACCAGGACCCAAGCAGTGGACATACCACCAGGTAGGATGTCGTGAGTCCTGATATCCCACTTAGATATCGGGTACCTGGAATCAGCTCCCAAAGGCTAGATATATGGAATCTTTTTCTTTTCTCCACTTGGGACAGGGTTTCTCCGTGTAGTCCTGGCTGTCCTGGAACTCGACCAGGCTGGCCTCAAGAGATCCACCTGCCTCTGCCTCCCAAGTGCTGGGATTAAAGGCGTGTGCCACCTCTGCCCAGCTGATATATAGCATCTTAGAGGGTTTCTGTGTTCCCACAAAAGTCAAAGAGACTTCTCTGGAGCCTGAAACACAGTAAATATGCCCAGTGGGAAGGCCTGGTGGCCCATCAGTGTGTCAGAGCCCAGGGACAGTGGGGACCTGAGGGCTATGGTTGTCAGACTAGACGCTTACTCCGTTGGTTTTGGTTTTAGTTTTTTTAATTGTATTATATTTTATATGTGAGTGCTCTGCATGTATACCTGTATGACAGAAGAGGGCATCAAGTCCTATTATAGATGCCTGTGATCCACCATGTGGGTGCTGGGAATTGAACTCAGGACCTCTGGAAGAGCAGCCAATGCCTTGAACTGCTGAGCCATCTCTCCAGCCCCCTTGCTTTGGCTTTTGAGACAGGGTTTCACTGTGTAGCTTTGGCTGGTCTAGATATCACTTAAACCCTCAGAGATCCACCCGCCTCTAAGGACATAGCTTGAAGAATTGTCAAGAAGCCACACCTGATGGTGGACACCTAGGACCCTAGCACTCTGGAAGCTAAGACAGACAGGGGCGATCAGGAGTTTGAAGCCAGCCTGGGCTACATGGAAAGACTTTGTCACAAAATTAAAGAGAGGGAGGGAGAGGAAGAGAGAGAGGGAGCAGGGAGAGATGAAGGAAGGGAGTGTTCAGGGGATGAGTGAGCTGCCGCAGCAGGCTCTTTGCTTCCACAGGAGGTGGGACGAGGGGAGAGAGACTGAGAACGGCATTAGGAGATGGCTCAGGCGGAGGTCAGACTCCATAGACAGAAACTGGCCCTGCAGTAAGAAGAAAGGTGTTTCCTTTCTCTGCCCCAGTGAGCACTGACAGGTCCTCGGTGGATCGCTACTGTCTTTCCGTCTAAAAGCTCCTCTCTGAGGGTCTCAGTGGCCCCTTCAGACTTGAGACAACCTCAGGGAGGGGCTCCTTGTCCATCTCCTGGCCTTCCGTCCTCTGACCACACGAGCCCGGCAAGCAGAGTGACTTCAAGAGGGAGGATTCAGTCTCTAGCACGGAAATAAAACTGGAGTGTGCTGAGTGAGCATGCCCTCTCGGACTCTACATTGGAGGAATGAGGCAGCGGCCTCATGGGCCTTCTGTGACCAGCCTTCCTAATAGACTGGGAGATGCTTCCATCCCCGTCTTCAGTGAGCACCCCCAATGGTATCTGTAGGAACCTCCCACTACCACCACACGCACCCCTCACAATGGTATCTGGTCAACAGAAGCGTCTCTCCCGTGCCGTCTGCAGTGCACAGCTCTCCCTCATTAGCCAGTCTGCCATGGCCCTCCTTCCATCTCTTGGAGTTATTAAAAGAGAGCTTGTCTACCTGCTCAGGGGCCCCTTGGCCCCGGGTCTCCTACGGTGAGGGTAAGGATCAAAATTAGCAAACTCAGAGGGGTAGGCACCGGCTCCCCATTTGGCCCTGGCCTGCTCTTCAGCTGTGCCAAATCTGCTCTTCCTGTGCCCAGGCCTCTTTCTTCCTGTAAATGCTGAGCTCATTTCCGAAGCTCACCACTCAAGACAGCCCTTTCCCTAAAAATAGCCATTCTCACAGTGCCAGGCACCTCCACAAGCTCCCTGGAGACACCCCCTCACCCCACCCGGCTGGCCCCCAAGCGTCCACTAGGCACAGATGCCCCCTGGAGTTGAACTCTTAGGTGCCTCCATCTTCCTTCAGTGACAGAATTCAGCCCTTTCTAAATGTGGGGGTTCTGTATGAGGAAGAATGGGGTGGAAAGAGGGAAGTGGACACTGTCGTCGTCCCCCAACCCCCACTGACCGTGCAGGGAATATGATTTACCTTCCCCCGGCCTCTTGTTTGCTGGACTGAACTCAGCTCAGCCCCCTTGTGGATCTCAGCCAAACACCCTTCCCCCCTACCTGACCACAAAGACAGGTCACACCCCTGACCACAGGCTTCAGGCAGCCACAGTCCTCTCCCTCAGTCAAGGAGTCAGCTGTGCCATCAGTGGCCACATCTGATCGCACCGTCCTCAGAGATAGCATGGGTGGGATTTCCTCGCTGTCGGAAAGCACGTTAGATGAATACACAGGAGACGGGAAAGGCCTGGCTGTCTGCACACCCTGTCTGTCTCTGGGGTAGGGACAGTGCTTCGTCCCAGAAGAGTGGCGGGTCTGGGCAGCCGTAGCCCTGGATACACTGAGTGACAGCCCTACTCCACTGACCCAGAGCCAGGGCCTTTGGACATAGTTGCCATGCAGGCTCCAGTACTTTCCAGTACCTCGTCTTGCTATAAAATTGCTTTTGGGGGAACCAGAAATGTAGTTCAAACCTCACCATCCCCTCTTCCTCTTCCATGTAAAAACTTCTTTTTTAAAAAACTCACAGTCAGTTTGTATATGTGCGTGATGTGGAGTTGGGACATGTGCCACGGTACATGTGTGAAAGCCAAAGGACAGCTTGGCAGAGTTGGTCATGCCTTCTACCGCTCTATACTTCCTGGGGGTTGAATTCGGGTCACCAAGCTGGAGCACCAAGCACCTAATCTACCTGCTGAGCCATCCCACCAGCTCCTTCTTCCTACCAGCTCCTTCAAATCCCTGGCATTAAGTCACTGGAAAACACTGATGACCAGACTTTAAAAATACATTTGCCGGGCAGTGGTGGCACACGCCTTTAATCCCAGCACTCGGGAGGCAGAGCCAGGCGGATCTTTGTGAGTTCGAGGCCAGCCTGGACTGCAGAGTGAGTTCCAGGACAGGCGCAAAGCTACACAGAGAAACCCTGTCTCAAAAAATCAAAAAAAAAAAAAACATAAAAAAAAATACATTTATTGGGGGTTGGGGATTTAGCTCAGTGGTAGAGCGCTTGCCTAGCAAACACAAGGCCCTGGGTTCGGTCCTCAGCTCTGAAAAAAAAAAAAAAAAAGACTTTTATTGCACCAGGCTGTGAGTTGAAGGCCAGCCTGGCTACATGGCAAGCTCTTGTTCCAAACTTCAAAAAACAACATAAAGTCAGCAAGTTGGATCTGTGAGTATAGGCACCTGCTACCAAGCCTGAAGACCTGCGTCTGAGCCCCAAGATCCACATGTTAGAAGGAGTGAACTGACTCCCACACATTGTCATTGACCTCCACACATGGGCCACAGTAAGTTCACACCCACACACATGCACACAAAATACATAAATAAAGTATTTTAAAAGACAGAATAAGCAAGAAGAATACATTTGGGCCAAGGCATTGCCCCAATCAGCACTCAGTCCCAGCTGCAGGTCCTTGCTTGTTCCTTGGTTTGAACATTGGCTGGTTCCTGGACATTAGCACCCAGGAAGGAGATCACCTTGAATGCACCTTGCCATTCCATCATCTTCAGGGCTGCCACCACAGGTTGGCATGGTGCTGGCACACGGGCTGTAGGTGACCCTGTGAGACCCAGAAAGCAACCACAACTGAATGGGAGGGGAGATCCACAGATGGAGTGCACATGTCTAATCCCAGGCCCAGAACCTTCCTTACATAGAAAAGAAATGATTATTTAATAAATAGAGTTTAAGGGTTGGAGAAATGGCTCAGCAGTTAAGAGCACTGGCTGCTCTTCCAGAGGTCCTGAGTTCAATTCCCAGCAACCTCATGGTAGCTCACAATCATCTGTGATGGGACCTGATTCCCTCTTCTGGTGTGCCTGAAGACAGGTCACTCGTATACATAAAATAATTAAATAAATATTTAAATAGAGCTTAGACATCTCTAATCTGAAAGACTGAAATCCAAAATGCTCCAAAATCTGAGACTTTTGAACTTTATAGTAAGTAGAACTTGTTTTTTGTTGTTTGTTTGTTGGGCAGTAGGGGTGGGGTGGGGTATGCTCGAGTGTGTCTGCAGGTTCCTGTGTGTGTGTTTGCTCTGTGGGGCATGAAGTTGACATCGACTGGCTTCCTTGATTGGTTTCCACTTCATATATTGGGTCTCAGGTGAATTCAGAACTCGCTGATTCGGGATTTCCATTTGTCTCCTGTATCCAGGGATTCCGGGCGGCTCACCACGACTACCCGGCATTTATGCTTGTGTGGGTCCAGGGATTCAAATTCCAGTCACACTTGCTTGCGTAAGAGGTGCTTTTCCCGGGGAGCTCTCTCCCCAGCCCTCTGTTTAGTTTTTTTTTTTTTTTTTTTAAAGATTTATTTATTTATTATGTATACAGAAGAGGGCGCCAGATCTTATTACAGATGGTTGTGATTCACCATGTGGGTGCTGGGAATTGAACTCAGGACCTCTGGAAGAGCAGTCGGTGCTCTTAACCTCTGAGCCATTTCTCCAGCCCCTGTTTAGTTTTTTGAGACAGGCTTTTACTGTGTAGCTCTGACTGGGCTGGATCTCTCTGTGTAGGCCAAGCTGGCTTTGATGTTGACCATACTGATGCTTCAGCCCCCCAAGTGCTGGGATTAGAGATGTGCACCACCAACCACACCTGGTCTAGTTTTAAGGAAAATTTTCAAATGCTGTTTAAAGCAGGTATTCTAGCACCGTGTGTAATCCCAGCACTTAGGAGGCAGAGACAGGAAGACCAGGAGTGCCAGGCATGGGGCTGGAGAGAGAGCATTTACTGCACAGCCACAGGGACCTGAGTTTGGGTCCCAGCACCCCTGTACAGGGCAAGTGTGGCTGTGAGCACTGTTGTTCTGTTATTCTGGTGCTGGGGAGGCCTGGAGGAGAAGACAGGATTGCTGAGGCTTGCCAGCCAGCCAGTATAGCCAAAAAACCAAAAACAAACAAAACTGTGAGCATCAGGTTCAATGGAGA